ATACTGTACATACTGTACTGACTGTACTGACATGTGTGGTGTGTGTTGCAGGGAGCGGAGGCAGGAATGGTATCACCTACTGCAGCTCCAGCAGACTGCCCACAGATGAACAGCTAGGATTCGATGCAGCCGTAGCCGGCCTGGGTGAGCATAGATACGCAGTATATATATATACATACATATATATACCATATAAACGTGTGTAGCTGAAGTCACTGTGTGCAGGGGAGGTTAGGGTGGCTGGACCGTCTCTATGAGGCGTAGATCCACTGCCGTTTCTACACCCGTGCTGAAGTTGTGGAATGATAAAGAGGTTCACTGCCTTCCCCCCTACCTTATGTCAGTTTGACAAGCTTATAACTCACTGCATTAACCTATATGTTTCTATATATATATATATATATATAGATAATGACATCATGCTGACACTCTGATTCAAAGGACAGCTTCCAGTTTCAAAAAACAAAAACCCGTCACCACCGATAACCCCCCCCCTCCCCCCGTTTCTCTAATGCTGAATCCCTGACCTTGGCTTCACCTTGCTTCAGGCTTGAAGGCGAACGTGTCGGAGGCTGAGCATCCGCTGCTGTGCGAGGGGACGAGGAGGCAGAGAGGGGACCTCGCCATCGCACTGCTCTCACACTACAAGGACGACCAGGACAAGCTCGTCAAGGTACGCACGCGCGCGCGGCGCCCCCTGGAGGCCCGAGCGCGCGCGAGACGCCCCCTGGAGGCTGGTGGGGGCGGCGCGACGCTATGCGTGGGTCTACAGCGGGGTGGGTTTTGCCTTACGCTGACCACCAGAGGGCAGGTCTGTCACATACACCAGAGGGCGGGTCTGTCACACACACCAGGGGGCGTGGCTGTCACACACCAGAGGGCGTGTCTGTCACACACCAGAGGGCGGGTCTGTCACACACACCAGGGGGCAGGTCTGTCACATACACCAGAGGGCGGGTCTGTCACACACACCAGGGGGCGTGTCTGTCACACACCAGGGGGCGTGTCTGTCACATACACCAGAGGGCAGGTCTGTCACACACACCAGGGGGCACTGCGTCGGCGACCTCGAGACGAAAAATCCGCTCCCCTCATTTCTATCATCTTATTCTTTTTATATCTTAAACATTTGCCCTCCGCATCATATTTCCATCGTCTTCTACCATCTACCTCTACCTCTACCTCTACCTCTACCTCTACCTCTACCTCTACCTCTACCTCTACCTCTA